CTGCGGATAAGATTACCCCCCCCCCCCCTCCCCGCTGTGGAAGCTTCTGTAGGCTGTCTTTAAGTCGGTGACCACAGTGTCCACACTCGGCTGTATGAGTGCGAGGGCCACAGCCGCTTTTTCAGCAATGGCAGGTTTTGTTGTCCTCAGGTACGCACTGACGATTAACCTGTCAATCGATGTAACCACTACTGCCGCACGGTCACTGTGTTTTCGGAGCAAGGCGTCCGCATACATGACCCTGGGGTTCTCTTCCAGCTTCCGGGCCATGGCATTGGCCTGCGCGGTGCACCTCTCGTCGTCTTTGCCCGGTGTCGTGTTCCGGGGAAGGGGTTTGGTTTGCATTGTTGTCTTCCAGTCCTCCGAAAGGGCCACCTTGATGGGTACTGGCTCGATCTGCCATCCTATCTTGTGTAGGACGGCTCGTCCGTGCTCCGTGTGACTGAGCCAGATTCTCTGATTAGAGAGGTGGGCTTCGATAAGCTCCTCCACCGTGTTGTGGGCACCCATATCTAGCAATCTTAGCGTAGATGAGTATATTGGCACGCCCAGTGCTTGCTTCGTTGCCTTGTGAAGCATCGTGTTCAGGGTGTCCCTATAGGTCCTCATCAGCTGTAAATACGGGAAAAGTGGGTAACCAACGACACAACGAACGCGCGTACTAAGCGCACGACATCGTCCTCTTTCAGGCCTTGGTTTCTGTTAGATACCCTCTGAATTATGCCAAGAATCTGTTCGGTTGTAGTCTTGATCTTTGTGACAGTGGCTTGTGCCTTCCCGTTGCTCTGAAGCAGTAGACCGAGAATCCTAAGTTGCTGTGTTGGTTTGATGGCCATTTTGTCGATGGTGATAGTCACGTTAGGCGGCGGCTGGTTCTTGGGTTTTCCTGGTTGGATCACGAGCAGCTCCGATTTTTGGGAAGTGCAGCTCAGTCTACACGACTGGGCATATTCGTGCACGGTCGTCGCCGCCAGCTGCAAGGCTTCCATTTCCCAGGCATCGGACCCAGCTCGGGTCGTCCACAACATGATGTCGTCGGCGTAAAATGCGTGGTCTACACCTTCGATTTGCTTGAGCAGATCGGGCAGGGGTAGGAGAGCCAGATTGAAGAGTAGGGGCGACAGGACTGATCCCTTAGGGGTGCCCTCTTCCCCGAGCTCGACAGAGTCTGATTTCTCCTTCTCTATCCTGATGGTCGCCGTTCAGTTTGACAGAAAGTCGTTTATGTAGCCAAATGTCTTGCGGCTTCACCTGGTTTTGTTCAGATTTTGCAACACGTTGTCAAAGGCTACTTTCAGGCCGAGGGCGAGTATCCCACGCGATGCGTGCCTTGTTGCTTGCTTGACGATCAGCTCGTGGAGCTGGATCATCACGCCTTGGGTGCTGAGATGTAGCTTGGAGCCGTACATTGTCTTTGGCATCTGATCTGTTTCTTCGAAGTGCTTCTGCAGCCGGCGAAGGATCATGCGCTCCATCACCTTTCCCACGCAGGATGTGAGGAAGATGGGCCGCAAGTTGTCTACCGTAAGGGCCTTGCCAGGCTTTGGAATAAAGCAGGCCTCGGCTTCCTACCATTTTTTCGGCAACCGCTAGCTCTCCCAGGCTTCGTTGATGTGCTCTAGGAGGCCACGGGCCGCTGCATCGCTCATGTTACCGAGTAGTTTGTAAGTTATGGCATCCCTGCCGGGTGCGCTTTTCTTGTTGCTTTCGTTTATCGCTGTCAACATTTCCACATTTCCATCATGGTAAACGGCTGATCCAGCTTCTCATTATCGGGTCCCTCGTACCTCTCGGGCACCGGGTACTGGTCCTTCTCTGTGCTTAGGTACTTCACCTTAGATCTTCCAGGAGCCTGCGGCCGTCTCCCTTGTACATATTCAATACTCTGGCAAGGTGGCGATTGGTCGCAGTTTTGCTACTCAGCGGGTCGATCAGATGCCTCAAGAGGCACCACGTCTCCCGCGCCGAGTGCTTGCCCTGCAGGCCGTCGCAGGTCTTTAGCCAATTTTCCCTGCAGAGCTTGGCCCCGTGCTCGGCGATCTGTTTGTTCAAGACTGCTGTGCGCTGTCTCTGACGCTTCCACCACTGTGTTAATGAGTGCCTGGCGGCCCACACGTTCGTTAGTCTAGCATCCACGTTCGGAGTCTGCGACGTCGTTGCGATTGCTTGGGTGAATTTTTGGGGGGCCTTCTTCTGGTCCCTCACCCATTCAGTGTAGATCTGTTTTCTTTCAGATGTTCAAAATTCTTCCTCGGATGCTTCTTCTTGTTCTCGGGTAAACTTTCTCATCTTGTCCCAATTTGTGATACATGCCTTCCCCAGCACAGCCCGGTATCGGGAGTCTCTGATCATAATGCCGATCAAGCTGTGGTCAGACCCCAAGGCCATGCCTTCGTTTCTCCAGGTGACGTCTAATTTGCCCGATGACCGCGTCAGGTCTGGTGTAGGGTCCCTCACGGCACTGTTGCCTCTTCTGGTTGTTATGTCCGGCTCGTTCAGGAGGGCCATCTCGTGACCCTCCATTACTTTGGCCAACGCTTTCCCCCTCTTGGACTGGAACTTTAATTCCCACCTTGTGCAAGGGGCGTTAAAGTTACCGAGGACCAGGAGTGGCCTAGTTCTCGCAAACCCTTTCGCCTGGCTCAGGATGCAGTCAAATTCGTACTGCCGTTGTGACGGCTGGCAGTACACGCTTATTACGAATAGATTGCCCGAGCTGCCAATTTCTCTTGCATGAATTTCAACCAGCGTGTGCTTGCGCCCACCCTGCGTCGTGACGTGCTGAGTAGCCACCACGTTGCTCTATACGAGCACCGTTGTTCTATTCTCCGTGTGGGCAGTGTAATTGACATACCCCGGGAGTCTTGGTTTCCCATTAGTTTCTTGTAGAGCAATTATATCGAGCTTGTTTTCTTGCCCGGCAATCGTAATAGTAGCGCTGCTTCTTTATTGCGAATGCCGCGGCAGTTCCATTGGTAAATTACGATGGTGATCCCCCCCCCCCCATCGGTCTTCTTATGCTTCTTACTCAGCTTCTGCATCATTCTTTTCGGACGTCTCGGTCGTGCTGCAAAGGACAAGACCCAGCAGCACATTTGTTCGGCCCCGGGCATTTACTTGACTGTCCTGGACCACAAAAGGACCGTGTCCTGTAACTATGGCATGACTAGTGTACTGAACCACTGGCGCCTTTATAGCAATCTTTTTGCTTTCCTGTCATAGACACAGGTCGAGCACGTCTTTTTAGGAAAATTTCAATTATTGTTAAAATTTATTGGGGTCTATATTTATGATTTTAGGCGCCTAAAACTGTGTTTCGCCTGCCTATTCTTGAGGCCGAAAACCTGATTTCTTTAGTGCCTGTAAATCTGCCCTCTAGTTGTCATACAGAGAATGAGAGAAAAAGGAAAAAAGAAACGTGGCATATCCACGGATTGAATGAAGATGAGTAGGCAAAGCAGTAGGATTGTTGGGTGTTACCGTTGATCACACGTGATGTTTACCTCTCATGCATGTAAATGAGTGACAAAGTGGTGTACAGCTATGTACAAGGTATATGGTTATAATTAGTATGCTGTGTTGAATTGTGAATTTTGTTTTGCCTTCATAATTACTGCTTTATGTCCTAAAACAGTTTTTAGGGCCTAAAGCTGTATTTTACCTGCCTGTTTCAGGCAGCCAAAGTGATGTCTAGTGCCTAAAAGTCTGGTCTTTAGTTATGATAAATGTGCTCATCTTATTATTGTGTGATCAATACTATTCGAATTAGACTCGAAATTGTTTGACCAGTAAGACTATTCACATTGAAGTCACTTCGAACCTAAAATTCACTATTCGCACAAGCCTAGTCTTTAGACTATAAACACATGTCTGCTAAGTCTAAATCTCGTGTTGGCATCACCAGTCACTGTCACTGTTTACTGAGCGTGGGGCCCATCATTGCATGATAGCAAAGGCAATGAGACTGCCCTACTTTTGCCGCTGGCTTGCTCCTCAGCCACAGACAATCAGGTGCTGAAGCACAGTCACTCAATTGTCCATGGTGCTGCTGGGCACAATTGCGGAACGATGCCTTTTACAATACCAAGGCTTTTCTTTCTTTTCACGCTTGGCCAATGCGGTCACTGGTCTAAGCGACTGTTCATTAGACACTTTTAGTTGGGCGTACGTAATGAGCTTACGTACGCGGCGCGATATGTTGCGTACGCTGCATGCGAAGTGCTCAACGACACTTTTTGTTCACCATATTGACCGTACCGAGATACGTTTGGTTCAAGCTCTTTTTCTAGCTCTTTTGGATTTCGTGCAACTACGCCACAGTTCAAGGGGCACAGAGACGAAAATTTTCATTTGCTGTTTTCTTGCATCAAATGAAAGGCTAAGCCGTCAAGAGCCCAGAAAACATACTTTTAACTGCGAGTGCACGCTGTAATTGCGGTATCTTTTTATGAGCTGGTTTCGGTTCCTACTATAGCCTGACGTCGCAACATGGTGCAAGCTTCTTGTTGTGTGCTCGCGCAGTGACGTTCTTATGGCCACTCTTCACCATGGCTTCGTTGTTGATGCACAAGTGGCCATTTTGGCAGTGTTTGTACCTGACGTCATCACAACTAGCCAGACTGCTGTGGAAAGTTGCGTGAATTAGTATTGTAGCCTGACTTCAAGCTAGCATACTAGATGTCGGTAGATGCAACACGGAAAAATTAATTTTAATATCAATGTTATGAGCGTTTGCTGAACTTAACATTTGCTGAGGGCTTCCACTGTACGTAGGAGATAGGAAATTTGTATATCATATTTAACTCATCTTCGAAAAAGGTTCCTGTACCCCTTTAATATAATGGTTAGTGTATAAACAAATAAAAATGCCCGTTTTGAGGTAAAACATCTAGGCCAGGCTTAATTAATCGATAGGTATTCTATGATGCAGTAATAGATGCAAGAGATGGCAGTGAGAAAAAACAAGTGCTCACCATGTGTGCCACCTGGTTGTCTTACAGAGACCCACCTGGCATCTCCATCCTTCTCATCGCAACGACAAAAGCCCAAGGATCGTGCAGCCAAGGTGAGTGCTCGCTCCTTCAGCTGCTGCCAATATTCAGATATGGTGCATTGACATTTGCTCCAGCCTTCTGCCCTCTCAATGAGGCTAAGTTCTGGCTTTTAGAAGAGGGCCACCAAGATTTCGTCTGCCAGTGTAAATGAGGCTGTGTAGATTAGGAACGAGTACGCATTAGTGACGTAAGTACACTCGGACGTCAATTGCTCGGCTGCATCGAGATTCCACTTAAAGGGGCCCTGCAACAATTTTCGAGCACGGTCAGAAAATGCTGCCTATCGGTAGCAGAGGCTTTTAAGAACATGTGAGAAAAGTATTACACGGTCTGGAATTTACAATAAATTATCGAAGTCAACTAAAAATCGCTTTATCTTCTTTTGAGAGATGACGTACTACACTCAAAAATGACTCTTAGACAGCCATTATGAGCCACTGGCTGATTTGAACATGGCGTGCTTAGTAGTTACAGGGATCGCCACGGGTGGCCGTGACTTGTCCTTGCATGGGCGCAATCATACCGAAGAAGCCACGTATTCAAAAAAAAAAAATTGAAAAGAAAATGGGCTCAAAATTACAAGGCGCGCGTGATGAATTTTCTTTGCCCCAGCCATTCCTCCCTTTCATCGGGATGAGAGAATGAGATTGCAGCGTGCGACAAATCTTTGTAACTCCACTCGTACTGAACGGATTGTTAACGTTTTTTCACTGTTGAATTTGGGAGGCAATAAGCTATTTTAGTGAATTCATTCTATGTTACTTGAAAAAGTGTTTCAGAGCCCCTTTGATGAAAAGTATTTCAGCAGGCATGAATCTGAAATTTTAAGTTTGAGTGGATAATTTTAAGCTGGAGCTTGCACAAGTCAGAGTAATTTCTAGGTACAGTGTAGACCACTTAAGGTGGTAGGCGACCTTCAAGGTTTTTTTTTTCTTCGGGAAATAGGTTTTTAGGTTTTGTTTTTTTCTGCATGTCCAAACATTCATATATATGTTGCAACAAAAATTATCCTTCTAGCGACATTAGTTTGCGAGTTACAGCAAGTTTTCTATATCCTATGCTCCTATAGCAAAACCGAAACCACATTTCCAACTGTGGTTTCGGTTTCGAAAAATCGCTTTGAAAAGTAAGTGTTGTTTCGTCTATATTAATGTTATTCAAAATAATTTATGCATTTTATTGTGACTGTTATAAAAGATGATGTCATTAAATACAACTTTGTGTTTAAAAGTCTTGGTTAATTTCTAACAACAGCCACAAGGGGGACGCACGATGCTCGTCGGAATTTTCGTTGTTTGCCTTGGTCAGGCTTTGTTCTGCAGCAGTGACGTTCTTATGGCCACTCTTCACCATGGCTTCGTTGTTGATGCACCAAGTGGCCATTTTTGGCAGTGTTTCGTACCTGACTGTCATCACAACTAGCCAGACTGCTGTGGAAAGTTGCGTGAATTAAGTATTGTTAGCCTGACTTCAAGGCTCAGCATACTAGATGTCGGTTAGAGTGTGCAACACGCGAAAAAATATAATTTTAATATTCAATGTTATGAGCGTTTTGCTGAACTTAACACTTGCTGAGGGCTTCCACTGTACGTAGGAGATAGGAAATTTGTATATCATATTTAACTCACTCTTCGAAAAAGGTTCCTGTACCCCTTTAATATAATGGTTAGTGTATAAACAAATAAAAATGCCCGTTTTGAGGTAAAACATCTAGGCCAGGCTTAATTAATCGATAGGTATTCTATGATGCAGTAATAGATGCAAGAGATGGCAGTGAGAAAAAACAAGTGCTCACCATGTGTGCCACCTGGTTGTCTTACAGAGACCCACCTGGCATCTCCATCCTTCTCATCGCAACGACAAAAGCCCAAGGATCGTGCAGCCAAGGTGAGTGCTCGCTCCTTCAGCTGCTGCCAATATTCAGATATGGTGCATTGACATTTGCTCCAGCCTTCTGCCCTCTCAATGAGGCTAAGTTCTGGCTTTTAGAAGAGGGCCACCAAGATTTCGTCTGCCAGTGTAAATGAGGCTGTGTAGATTAGGAACGAGTACGCATTAGTGACGTAAGTACACTCGGACGTCAATTGCTCGGCTGCATCGAGATTCCACTTAAAGGGGCCCTGCAACAATTTTCGAGCACGGTCAGAAAATGCTGCCTATCGGTAGCAGAGGCTTTTAAGAACATGTGAGAAAAGTATTACACGGTCTGGAATTTACAATAAATTATCGAAGTCAACTAAAAATTGCTTTATCTTCTTTTGAGAGATGACGTACTACGCTCAAAAATGACTCTTAGACAGCCATTATGAGCCACTGGCTGATTTGAACATGGCGTGCTTAGTAGTTACAGGGATCGCCACGGGTGGCCGTGACTTGTCCTTGCATGGGCGCAATCATACCGAAGAAGCCACGTATTCAAAAAAAAAATTGAAAAGAAAATGGGCTCAAAATTACAAGGCGCGCGTGATGAATTTTCTTTGCCCCAGCCATTCCTCCCTTTCATCGGGATGAGAGAATGAGATTGCAGCGTGCGACAAATCTTTGTAACTCCACTCGTACTGAACGGATTGTTAGCGTTTTTTCACTGTTGAATTTGGGAGGCAATAAGCTATTTTAGTGAATTCATTCTATGTTACTTGAAAAAGTGTTTCAGAGCCCCTTTGATGAAAAGTATTTCAGCAGGCATGAATCTGAAATTTTAAGTTTGAGTGGATAATTTTAAGCTGGAGCTTGCACAAGTCAGAGTAATTTCTAGGTACAGTGTAGACCACTTAAGGTGGTAGGCGACCTTCAAAGGTTTTTTTTTTCTTCGGGAAATAGGTTTTTAGGTTTTTGTTTTTTTCTGCATGTCCAAACATTCATATATATGTTGCAACAAAAATTATCCTTCTAGCGACATTAGTTTGCGAGTTACAGCAAGTTTTCTATATCCTATGCTCCTATAGCAAAACCGAAACCACATTTCCAACTGTGGTTTCGGTTTCGAAAAATCGCTTTGAAAAGTAAGTGTTGTTTCGTCTATATTAATGTTATTCAAAATAATTTATGCATTTTATTGTGACTGTTATAAAAGATGATGTCATTAAATACAACTTTGTGTTTAAAAGTCTTGGTTAATTTCTAACAACAGCCACAAGGGGGACGCACGATGCTCGTCGGAATTTTCGTTGTTTGCCTTGGTCAGGCTTTGTTCTGCATTTGTTCCACGTGTCAATGCTACTAGGGCTGTATCCTTAGGCCACCTGGACCATATTACGACCAGCATGGGGAAGTGCAGAACACAGAAGACGAGGAAGCGCAAGTTTGCTGGAAATCCCTACACGACGACGAGGCTGCCTACTGACACAGACGCCGGTATTTCGGCGACCGCGAAGAAGCTTGGGGACATAAACAAGGCGTACCAGGCTCCACTACAGAATTCTGCGCTCCAAGGGAACAGGATAATGGACATTGGTAGTCTTTCTTCACTGTTTTCATCGCTGGCATGTTCCGAATGCATGAACACAACACTGAAGCTCGAGGAACGCTCTCACCAAGGGATATGCTCAGCTCGTGCGGTCGTGTGTGCCGACTGTGGGTTCAAGCGCCCATTTCATACGTCGAGAAAGGTGGGTCGTGCTAATGAGAACGATTTACGTCTGGTTTACCCGATGCGCCAGTTAGCAAAAGGGCACGCTGGTGTGAAAACTTTTTCCAAAGTGATGAACATGTCTGTTCCTCCGCGTTACTCCGCCTATGACAAATTGTCATCTCGGCTTTCTGCAGCAGCATGAGAAGTGGCGTCGAAGTTGATGACTGATGCTGCTGTGGAAGTTCGGCGTGTTGTGGGGACTGCCGAGTATGATGTTTCAGGTGATGGCACTTGTCAGAAGCGTGGCCATTCATCTTTGAAGGGTTGTGTGTCTGTGATTTCTGTTGACACGGGAAAGGTTATTGATGTTGAGGCCCTTTCTAGTTCGTGTAAGTCTTGTAAAACCAAAAGCAAGTTGGGGCGAGATAGTGCTTCGTACCAGGAATGGAAAACAAACCACACTTTCTGTCAAGCAAATCATGAAGGAAGTGCTGGCAATATGGAGACGGTTGGTCTATACCGAATATTTGAAAAGTCGAAAGGCAAAAGGGATTTGAAGTACCTGCAGTACTACGGCGATGGTGATTCCAAGAGCTATGCCGCTGTCAAAGACATGTATGGAAAAGACAGTGTGCAGAAACTGGAATGTATTGGGCATGTCCAGAAGCATCTTGGCTGCCGCCTCAGAAAACTGAAGACAGTGCGTAGACTCGGTGGTAAGGGAAAGCTCACTGATGCCCTCATTGACTGCCTGCAAAACTACTATGGCATCACCATAAGGGATAATGTGGGGAACCTTTCTGCAATGAAAAAGGCTACCCTTGCCAGTATTTTTCATTGCAGCTCTACCGACAAGCAGCCGAGACATGGCCTGTGCCCACTTGGACTGAAAAGCTGGTGCGGATACCAAAGGGTCGAAGCACTCGGCCAAGGGAAATATGTACACAAAGGAGGACTTCCAAATGATGTGCTCAACAAAGTTAAAACTGTCTACAGTGATCTGTGCTCTGGTGAACTTCTAATGAAGTGCCTTCATGGAAAGACTCAAAATGCTGGTGAGTGTTTCAATGGTCTATTATGGCAGCGGGCACCCAAAGAGGTCTACGTAAGCTTGCCTACAGTAATGTTTGCCTTGCATGATGCTGTGGCACACTTTAATAATGGCAGTGTAAGCACCCTAGATGAGGGTGCTTACACTGAGGCAAGCTGGCATAGAACCAGGGTACCACACAACGAAAGCTTGCATTGCCAGGGATCACCTGCGCATGCAGAATGCTAAATGCAAGTCAGCGGATAGGACAAAACAGGCCAGGAAGAAAAGACGAGCAGCCACCCGAACAAAAGGAGACAATAATGCTTCCGCAGAAGGGCCCAGCTATGAATCTGGTGCATTTTAGGCCTGCATGCGAAGATTGTGACCCTTTTTACAAGCTCGGAAAT